ATAAGTTCTGGTACTTCCCAATAAAGAGTAATAGGCAGGACCGCTGAATTAAAAAAATATATATATATATATTAAAATATATAATAAAATATAAGAAAAATATTAATAAAAATTCATTTAAAAATGTTAATAAAATTTTATCTATATTACAATATATACTACGTATAAAAGTAAGTAAACCAATTTTTTATTTATTTAATTAAATATTGGACTGGTTATTTTAACAATAATAGATTATACTATATAATACGTACGTACAAAATTAACAATTTATTGTTATATTAAATCTTAGACCGAGCAAACTTTATAACTTTTAAAGTGCAAAATTTAAAATCGAGTTTCATTGATATAAGACACATTGTCATTTATGCGTTGGACAGAAATATGCATGAGTAATAATAATACGTAAAATATTTTCGCTTAATTATTATTATTTAAGGTTTTTTACAATAAGCATCTGTATTTTAGAGTTGAACTAAAGAATTATAAAGCATTTACTTGTTTTTTACAAGTTTTAGTGAATTGGCTAAGTCATACATCGAAAGTTTATTACCGAATAAGAAAAGTTCTCGACTCTGGAATGCTACATTATAAACTCCTAGTAATAATTCGAAAAATAAATTCTCATTACAGATCATTAATCTTTGCTTCTCTAGTTTGCTGAGAATGACATCTAGTTTCAATTACTTTTGGTAAATTTTGCCGATGATCTACCTTTAGCAACACTAACTATAAAGCAAGCCAACCCTAATCTAAATTGGGCTAAATTTATTGACGAAATAGCTGTCGGCAAAATGGTCAGCGAAATTGATTTATACCGAATATCGACACTTTTCTGATCATGGAAATTAAACCATGATCACAAGTAATTCATTTATTAATTAACAATGGAAGACTACATAATCAATAAGCAACCAATTTTCAACAAGGACTTTTACTTTTCTAAAAACTGTTAGGACTTATCGAATTTCGGATAGTGGAAGAGTTTATTTGAATGTGAAGAATTTTCACCTTATAATTATTTTTTCACTTATACATTTCCGATATAACTGATTTAATAAAGTTGATCGGTTTTGAATTTGATACTATTGACCAAAAATAGGGCATATATTTGGGTTTTAGTCATTATCCCAAATGACGTAGAAATTCCGATTCCCAAATCAAAACTAAGTAATAACGTCATAACTCAAATAAAGGGTTTGAGTCGTATCCCTAGTACTTTCCACACCTTCCATTTCTTCATTCGCTGGAATTTCGTTGAACATATATTGCTCCTGATATTCTTTCAGATAATTCACGGACCTTTTTTCATCTAAGAATAATTTGTATACTCGTTTGATATCATTGGCATCCACTGTCGTTGACTGTTTTAAAATACCAAAGATATTTAAATATTGTTTATGTGTGCATGTAATATAGTCTTAATGACCTTCAGTGATAAATACTAACTTTGCGCTTTTTTGCGACAAGATGAGATGTAGTAATTAGATGAATAGCATATCTCAGCGATGTTTCTACCCCAATTTTTGTCAAAACATCTCGTGCTTCATCGGTCATTGCTACATCTTCTTCCTCACACCTTTTGATTGAGTCAAAAAAATATAAATAAAATAAACCATCTATGGGATAAAAAAATAAACGATTGTATTACCTAATGGTTATTATTTTTTTTATTGAGTCTTCGTCATACGGTGATGTACTGATAATCAACAGTCTATCCAACAAGTCTATCGGAATGCCATGAGGACTTTTGTATTTCGTACCACGAATCCGTGTAATACCACGGTTTGATGCCATTATGACAACGGGAGCTCTTTCATCTTCAAGAGCGCGATTTAGAAAAGAAAAGCATTCAATGTCAAGCATATGGACCTCATCAATAAAAAGAACCTAATAAATACAAATATGTAAGCAATTTATTTCCACTAAGTTGTATCTAACGATAAGCGTTAACTTACACCAGGAACGATCTCTGCTTTTCCTTCTTCTCTCCATTCAGTAACCTTTGTGTTTATTTGTTCTCGCACTTCAGACTTGATTTCACCAGTATCGCCTATCAATAAAAACAAATATAGACTCTAATGATACTAATTATTAAGATTTTATACCAACTTACCCGAAAACAATGCCAAAAATCCCTGTGTTCGACTATTGATCACATCAATTTCATGTAAAGAAACTGTATGCACCACTTCTCTACGTTTTTGTAGTTCACCTTCGGGACATTGTACA